TAGGCCCTGAAAGGGCAAATATTCTAAGAAAAGCCAAATCCCTCCAGCTCTCCCTTGCTCTGATTAAATGTACAAATCGCAACGTCCGATGGGTGTCTATAAACAGAGCAACCCTGTATACCGGTGTTGGGCGGGTGGGTGAAGAAGACGTTGCCCCCCTTGTGAAAAGGGTAACTCGTCGTGTCAGTTGCTGGACTGCTTGTTGACTTTTTTGTTACGTCCCTTCAGAAGTTTGCCCCAAAGTAAGCAGGAAGTCAGGAGCCAGGAGCAGGCAGTACCACTGCTAAGTTAGTCCTGTCATGACGAGAGATTCGTCACCCTTCATGAGCTCCCAAGTTCTGCTCATGCTGTTATTTTCGCAAAATGTGAAATCCTCCAGAAACAGGAATTTTGCATTTAAAGCATCTTCATCTGGAGGTGCCGTGTTTATGTGTGAACCCGACCCAGCTGGTTCTCTTTCCGCCAGGCCGGCTAGCCTTGCAAACTCTTTTCCAAAACAGCTTTGAGGGCACCCCTTTTATGCCAAGGGACTTCCCTTCTCTTCCCGTTTTTTCCCCCAGGATACCCAAAGGCCCTGGCTTTCCATCCGTGGGGAGGCTGGGAGGAGGCCATGGGGCTGAGGCTCATTTGGGAGAGAGAACTGGCTGCAGGCGAGGAAAGGGTCAGTTTCCCCTCAAAAGAAAGGTGCATTAAGCAATTAAGAGGCAGACCTGAACCAACCGGGGAATGAGAATCTGCCCCAAAGATAGTCAGGGGAAAGCAAAGAGCCTGATTAGTATGAAAACGGTTCTCGGTGAATTTATGAGCCGTGTGTAATTTCTTACTCTGAGGCATCTCCTCACCTGCAGAGGTCTGGAGTTTGGCAGACGGACGAGTGATGTATAATTCCTTCGGCGGAGGGAAGCCTCGCCGCCTGCAGAGATCAGAAGGTATTATTCTCCTTCCCCGTCTCCCGCTTCATCTCTCTTTGCGGTTCTACTGGATGCGGCTCAAGTTCTTTCCACTTGGGAGTCATGGGCGCGCACAAGGATGTGCAGCCCCATGCCGGCTCTTCCTCGCGAGGTGCCTCTCTGGCTCTTGTGCCTTTCACGTGGAGTTTCCATGCGGTCCGAGTGGCGGAGAAGGTGAACAGAGAGTCCCGTTGAGCATTGCTGGAAGGTGCGGTAGAGCAATGAAGCACCCTGGACTGCTGGGGGCCCGGAGGTCCCCAGTTCTTGCTCCTGCTGAGACCCAAATGTTAAGTCGTGTGGCTATGGTGCCGCTCTTCCTTCGCCTGGCCTGCCTCGCAGGGCTGCTGTGGGGATAAGGTGGAGAGAAGAGAGAAACCATGCACCCCACCTGAAGGGGAATGAAAAATAAAATGGTAAAGATTTTGGTGTCAGTGGTTTTGTGGATATTCAGCTGATGAACTGCTGGATAGCTCAGGGGCTCAGGGACTTAGGGATCGGACTGCGGAGCCAGAGGTTGGGAGTTTGATTCCCCCACTGGGCTTCTTTGGTAAGGGGCTGTAGGGCCCTTTCCAGCTCTGCAGTTCTATGGTGATGATGGTGAATCAGAAAGAGCTGTTTTTCTTGTCACAGAGGTAAAGCTTCCTAAGCCCACGAGGCCTCAAGTAGGAGGGAGGAGAGAGACACCTCCACGACCACCTTCCTGTCAGAACAATTCAGACCAGAGGCCCATTGCGGGAAACTCCTCCTTCCCAGTTTTTATTTTCTGCTCGTTGGCCAAAAGCCGAGGGTCAGGGCCTTCCAATCCCTCTCCTGTTCTCTCCTGCCTTGAGAGGATGACCCCTGGGATGGGTGGGTGGGTCAAGCGTCCCGGCAGGCCCCCTAATTCAATTAACAGGAGCCACAGAGCGCTCTGTCCGGCTGCTGTCGTTGTCCACGTTCAGCCTGGGAGAGAGAGAGACCCGGTCCCTGGTGGAGGGGGGTCCCGGCAGGCCCCCTAATTCAATTAACAGCAGCCGCAGAGCGCTCTGTCCGGCTGCCGTCGTCGTCATCCTCGTTCAGCCTGGGAGAGAGAGAGACCAGGTCCCTGGTGGAGGGGGGGGGCGCTTCCCTCGCCTGGCTGAGTGGCCCAGGTACCTTCAGAGGGGCAGCTCCGCCTCGCCTCCCACGTCCGGGCGGCTGGCGTGCTCCCGGTGCCCTCCCTTTCCCCCCAGTGGGCTATAAATCCATTCTCCGAGTCCATCCCAGCACACTGTATCAATCTTGTTTAATAGACTGGAAAGCTTAATGCTCGGTGGCGGGTCGTGGGGAGCATCCGGGTGATGGATTGTGCCTTCCCGGAGTCGAGCACCGTTGATGTATAATGAAATATTTATGATTTATTCCGGCTAATAAACTGGAATGAAGTGTGTGATATATGTGAGCAGATGGGGAACTATTGATGCAGCTTTCGTTTGGGGAAACGCGGGGAGGTTTATGTCTGTAACACCCCTACGTACACCCATCACAGACCGTGGCATGCCATAAACTTCACCCCTCGCATGGTGGTTGTGCGGGGACGGCCGATACCCATCCCCTCATTAATCTTCTCCTCCTTCCCTCTAATTGTTTGTCGTCCCGCATCCCCTCCTGCACCTGTATTCCGTGCGCTAGAAACAAGCCGTTCTCTGCACAGAATACCTTTTCTGCATCCCAGAGACGTCCTGTTCTGAGCAGGCTTGGAGATGGGTGCAAATCCTCCCGTGGGACGATGGATGCCTCAAAACTTCATGGAACTTGGATCCAGGCCATCCGAAGGGTTGCGTGTCCTGCTCTTGGGAGGGTTTGAGAACCTTTTACGGGGAACCTTCCTTCAGCTCTACCCACCCTGCTCACAAGATGGAGTCCCCCCCCAGACAGGGCCTTCTCGGTGGCTGCCCCCAGGCTGCACCCTTCCAGCAAAGATGGGACAAGCCCCCCTTCCTGTTCCCCCATCACTGGCTCCCAAAAACCCTTCCTATCCAGGCCAGCTCTTGTTAATTCACAGACTGCCAAGCCACAGGGCTCCTGATTAGGTTGGGCGCTTTGAAAACTAATCCCTTTCCTTTAAGATTAGATTAATTGGGTTTCCATTTTATAGCTTGCTCAGTCTTTTTTTTTTTTTTTAAGTATTCCAGCTTTTGGGGATCTTAGCCAGAGTGTTTTTCTCATCTCGTGGTGAGGTGCCTTCAGCCCCAAGGTATCTATTAAGGATATAAAATACCAATTATATATTTTATATCAAATTTAGTTTAGTCAAATCCTGCAAGGGGCCAGAATGATAACCAGGCAAAACCTCCCTCTTGTAACTCAGCCCTCCTGCCCAGCGCTGGTCCAGACACTCTGGTGTCTAAGCGGGAAGGTCCGGGAGGAGCGATGCTCTTGCCTCCTTCCCTGCAAGAAGTAACACTGGCCATGGTGCCAGAGGACTGGAAATTGAAAATCCTTTCGCAACCCTACAGTTCTGTGAGTCTGTACAAGTTTTTGCCGTCAAAAGCCTTGCTTGGCATTTGATGCCCTTTACCTGGAGCTACGAAAGGCTTGAGGGCTCTGTTCTCCACCTGGCCCCCTCTTCTGTGAGCCACCCTGCCAGCTGTTGCCCACCTGCCTGCCTGCCCTAATGAGCGGCGTTGGTTGCCCAACCCATTTGCGATGGCTCAGATGAAAGCCACTGAAAGCACACCAAGAGCTGTGACGGCAGCGGCTGAGAGCTTCGAGGGAGAGCTTCCCAGAGGGGCCCTCCGTTCTCAAAGTGAAAGGCCTCCCGTGCCACTTAGGGGAGCGCCCGGCAGCAGGGAATTCCCCCAGGAGACCCTGCCCGACCAAAGAAGGTGCTTCTCCAAAGTGGCGGCTGAAGGCGGCGGACTCAGCGCAGCAGAGAAGCCGGGAAGCTTTTTGTCCCAGTTCACCCTGGAGGTGCCAAGGGCAGGCCACGTGGGGCAAGGGGAGGCTTCCAAAGAGAGGAGGGGTCAGGTTTCCAGCGGCCCCCTTTCTCCTGCTCTCCTCTTTATGGCTCAATACACCTGGGTGGTGCCAGCTGGTGCCCACCGGAACGGGTGAGGCAAGAGTGGCCGTTGGAGAGTGAATTTATATAGAAGATGATAAAGGGATTTATGAAAGAATGGTTTCTTGCAAAAGGGGCCCCTAAGGTGTCTTAAAATGGCTTTTAAAAGAGGTTTGGAAAGTACTAGAACCCTGTGCATTATAGGATCAAAGTAACTTTGCTTGTTGCATTGCTTTTAAAATGTAACCATGGCTCTGCCATTTATAGCCGGGCACTGTCATGCTCCGGAACCAGAATAGGCAGTGCCCAGGCCAGGCAGGGAGGCGGTGTGCCCAATAGTTTGGCAGGATCATTAGCTCTCATCCTGCTACATCCATGGAGAGTCAGGAGGCTGAAGCGCCAGGGCTGGGCTGGGCCAACAGGACTCTGGCTACAGGGGGACCGAGGGCATCTGTCCGTTGCTGCTCCCGTTGAGGATAAAGAGATGATGTTTCCAGCACCCGGTTTCTTGAGGTGTTCAACTGGATGCCCCCCAAGAAGACCCCAGGCGGAGCACAAGGGCTTTCTCTCCCCAGCCAGGTTGTCCCTCTCTAGCACCTCCTTGCTCCAGGAATCTTGCCCAAGGTCCTCTTAGGACCCAGGAAGCCGCCTTCGGCTGGTGCCATCTGCGTGTCCGCCTTCCCCGGTCTTGCCTCCTCTTCCTGCTCCTCCCAGCAGAAGCTCTTCTCCAGGTGCTCAGGGCAGAAGGGCGTCTTCAGTTCAGGCTTCTGACTTACATTTTTCCAAGGGGAGATGTCCACAGTTGAATCAGGGGAGGTGTCTTCTGAGAAGATCTGAAGCCACTCGGCTGTTGACCATCCTTGAATATCTTCCCTTCCAGCTGTGGATCCCAAATGCCAGGTCACCAGCTGTCCTGCAGGGACCGCTGCAGAGAGGGAGGAGAGAGGGAGGATGCTCTGCCTCTCCCCTGCAGTGTGGGAAAGGTCCCCTGATTCCTCTCCTCTTTTGTCTCTCCCCGGCCACCTCCCCAGGTGACACAGCTGTGTACAAGGGTGGCACCTACTGGATCAGGGGCCGGACTTCGGTGGACATCATCAAAAGTGGAGGCTACAAGATCAGCGCCCTGGAAGTCGAGCGCCACCTTTTGGCTCACCACAGCATTGCCGGTAAAGCAGAGACACATACACACACACCCGGCACTCTCTCCACCTGGGCTGGGCTGGTAGCACTGGAGGCCAGTGTTTCACGGATGGGCCACAGTGCCCAGGGAGCAGGCACTGGTGGGAGGGAGAAGAGAGGGTACTTACCTGCCGAGATCTAGGAAGCCTCCTATGTTGCCCCCCACCCCCTGGGTCTCTGCTCAAGAGAATGCTTCATTCTTGTTATTCTTTGCTGGTTTACTCACGCCGTGCTGATTATGCACACTGAGCTCGGCGGAGGGCAGAAGGCTTTGAGATTTCCACCTCACCCAATTCTGGGTTTGACTGTGCCACTGAGTGCAAGGGAAAGGTCGCAAGGGGAGAAGGGGAGAATCGGCGTCTCGTTGCTGCCGCAAGAGGGCTTAGAGCGATGGCTCTCGTGGCGCAAGGCAGGGGAATCTTATCGCTCCGCTCCGGGTGGTGAAAAGTCTTGGGTCAGCACACCCTAACTCCCAAGGGAATTTACCTGCTTGGAAACAGACTCCGGGCAAGCCATAGGAGAAGGGGAGGGACTGGGAGGCAGGATCAACCCCAGGAGTGCACGCCGTTATTCGTGTGGCAGGGAGGGTGAAAGGATGGTCCCAGAGACCTTGTGAAATATGCACGGGATTATGCAATAATTTGCAGGCCTTTCCTGCCCTGCCTTTGCAACGCCTGCCAGCAAGCAAAATAAAAGCAGCAGCACCTGTGTTTTCAGGCAGCCTAAAAGAGGACAGGCTTAAAACAGAGTTTTTAATCCTGCCACTGGAAGCAAAGCCCTATAATAGCCCACTAGAAATGGAAGAAGCTGTAGGGAATCCAAACATGTTCTCCCGATGCTGGGAAGTCGAGAAACCCATCCCCAGGTGGGCTTTACAAGAGAGGATCTTCTACAGGTTGAGGGTCTCCGCAGGAGAAGTCCTGCTCAGAAGTAGACCTCCCCCCCCCTGGCCACTGAATCCCACTGTGCGGGGGCTCTCGGAGCGGGGCCTCAGATGTCGCTCTCTGAGCACAGACAGGAACATATGGGAAGAGGCGGCGGAGTGACACCCCGCCATCACTGGGTTCCCTGCTCCTCCTGGTTCTCTGCTTTTTCTAGGCCTGCCATCTGGCTGATTTCCCTATTTATTTACTGATGGAATTTTAATTCCACCCTTAAAATAACAAAACAAACAAAACACCCTTTTCAAAACAGAAGCAAAGAGAATGCAGGGTAGAAACATCACTGCAAGCAGTAAAAAAAAAAAATCAATATTTTGAGAAAAGGCTTGAGATATTTTTTCCACCCGAAAGAGAGCATATTAAAAGTATTAAAATGCCTGGAAGAACAAGATTTTCAGCGATTGACAAAAAAACCCCTGCAGAATAGGCACCAAGCAGATTTCCTTGGGGAGAGCGTTCGTCAGCCGGGATGCAGAAGAGGGCAGGGGGTGTCACTGCTACCCTGTTTCCCCAAAAATAAGACCTAACCTGAAAATAAGCCCTAGTAGGATTTTTCAGGATGCTCGTCATATAAGCCCTACCCCAAAATAAGCCCCAGTCAAGTGATACCCCACTCTCCATCCTTATGCAACAACCAGAAGAAGATGACATGACTGTATTTGAATAAATGTAGATTGTTGTACATGGGGGAAAAAACAAAGCATCCCCTGAAAATAAGCCCTAATGCGTTTTTGGAGCAAAAATTAATATAAGACCCTGTATTATTTTCGGGGAAACAGGGTGCCAAGAAGGTGTTCCCTGAGATGGCGGAGGTGCACCGGCCTCCCCATGAGAGAGACGGATGCCCACCTTCCTCTCCTAAGTGGTGTTTGAGGTGGCTCACAAATCTCAAAAGAGAAAAAAAAACAGGCAGCTGGAAGAAAACCAGAACAAGAACTGGGAGCCCCACCATAAGCGGCTGAAAAGCAGATCAGCACAAACAGAAACCGTCCTGGGTGCCTCCTGAGCTAATGCAGATGCTGAGTTTTAAGGATAAACATCGCCGGAGGCAGTTGTGTTAATCTGTCCCAGGGAGATCAGAAGAGTCGGGCAGCAGTTTCCGGAGGCTTCTGTGCCGAAGGAAGGATGTTGAGTCCTTGAGGTGGCACAAGAATCCCAGTGGAGCGATGAACTCAGAGCCACAGCCCTGGCTAAGCAGGAGAGCCTTTGCCTGCACGTCTCCTCCTCGAGGGGAAGGTGGCTATTTTTCTTCCTTTCCCTTCGGTGGCTTTTCCCCTGCGTGACGCTTTCCCCCTTTTTCTCGCCTTCCAGATGTGGCTGTGATTGGCGCCCCGGACGTGGTGTGGGGTCAGAAGGTCACGGCCGTGGTGAAGCTCTGCAGTGGCCACACCCTGTCCCTGAGCAGCCTGAAGGAATGGGCCAGGTAAGGCTGGCGGGGCCGGGGGGGGGGCGGCTGGCTTCCCCCTTGCGGGAGGGCTGGCTCTGTTCGCAAGAGTCCGGAAGAGCCGCCCTCTCTGGGGAAAACCAAAAACAGACACCGGGGGCCTGTTTTTCCTCCCATGAGCTCCAAGCTGCGGACGGGGCTTGCCTTCTCTCCCCTTTATGCTCACAACCAGCCTGCGAGGTAGGTCAGACTCGGAGCTTGTGACTGGCAGAAGGCCAGTCCTTCTTCTGAGTTTCATGACCAACTTCTCCCGAATCCAACACATGGCAGTTCTGTTCCATTGGGGGAAACGAAGGGTTAAACATATGGCCCGACACGGCCAGCATGGTGGTCTCCTTGCTCTGCTCGGGCACCTGCAGGATTTCTCTAAGCAGGGCTCAGGGAGGGGGGCGCCTGCTCCAAGCCCCGGACAGACAGCCCTCGTGGTCCATCAGAACAGACAGGACTGGCCAGGAGGAAACAGGGGTCCTTGACCTGGGGCAAGGCAGCCGAACCCATGTTCCTGGGCTCTGTCGCTCCCTGTCACCACCAAACACACAACACACAAACACACACACTTTCCCCCTCCTGCTCAAGTGCCTAGTGTGTGCAGAGCACCCCTTAGATTCACAGGGAGCCGGCCGTTCAAAGGAGGAGGAAGAGGTGCTGTGTCTTGACATGAACACAGACCATGAAGGAAAAATAAGGGAGGGCGCACAGCAACACAGAACGCTGGGAGCCATGAGAAGCGGCCGGGGCGCAAGCGAGGGGCCCAGCGCAGCCTTCCTAGCCACACTTGAACCTCCTTCGCCGCCAGCAGAGCATGTCCCGCTCTTCATCAGAGCCACTGAGGGAGGGAGGGAGGGCACTGTTCTGCCCCCGTGGAATCGCTCTCTCTTGCTCTCTTTCCCCTTGAGCTGCCATTTTTTGCTGGCCTCCTCCTGGCAGATCAGCCCCGACTGTGACAGATCTCAATGTGGCAGTCCTGCGCTCCCGGAAGGGCTCTGTGGTCCTTTAGCTGCGCGTCACCTCCCAGGCCTCCCACCCCTGGCAGGCTCCCCCCTGCACACTGCTCGCCCTGTCTGTCCTCTTTCTCTTCCACATCGCTTGCCTCGCCCACCCCACACCACCACCGCCGCCTCCTTCCCCGTCTCCTGCTCTCTTTGGCAGGAGACACATGTCCCTCTTCAGCATGATGTGTTCAGAGCCTTTCGCTTCCCATCTCTTCACGGTGACCAAAGCAGAGTCGATGGAGAGGGCTCCATATGGCAAGGATCACGCTTGATAATTTGAAGCCAGGAGCGGCAATGGGGGTGTGTGTGTGTGAAGGGGGAGAGCCCGGACATCCTCGGCGGGTCCATCCTGTCACTTTAGACTCTGTGTGCCAGGGAAGGTGCCTGGGAGAGCCGGGCATGGCCCAAGGCTGGTGCCGTCGCAGAAGGAAAAGTCCCCACCCCTCCCCTCACTTTGCAAAGGACAAAGTGACTTTGCTCCTTGTCCCCACTTGGGCAGGACGAAGGAGCTGCCATTCCTGGCGTGTCCCAGCATGCCTGCTGGTACACAAATGGATGGGGGGGGAGGTTGCACACAGGGAGGGGGCAGAAGGCCTCCCAGGTACCCAGGCAGAGGAGGAGTGTGCAGGAGTGCTTGGTCGTTTGCTCCCGCTGCCATCGCTAATTGCAAGGATTGATGGGAGCCCATTAGAAGCAATGGCCGTTGGCCTCCTGGAGGTGCTCCGTCTGAGTGCGCCTTCTCAGAGAGACCCCCTGCACCTACAGACAGATAATTGGGATGCCTTGTCTCTTAGGAGAGGGGTTCTCCACCTTTGGTCTCAGTCTCAGATCTCTCCCCAGCTTTTCCTATCAAACGCCAGGCTCCCTCCAGGACTGGAGCAAACAAAACAGCCTCTTCCTGCCCCCCCAGAAGGACTTCCATGCTCGGTGATGATTTCTATTCCTCATTTAAATGGGTGGCATGAAAAGCACAGCTTAAGGAGACGCCCTGGGTGTCCAACGTTCTTGCTAGCACACCCAAAGGTCCCTGGAGGGATCCTCCGCAGCAGGTGGGCTTGGTCGGAGACCTGCCGGAAGACGAGGGAGATTCCATTGGTGGTGGCCACAGTTATAAAGCCTCGGGGTCCCACCTAGACGACTTCTGGGAGAGCCGGCGTAGCCTCGTGGAGAGAGTGATGGAGTAGAACTTAGGAGACCTTGGTCAAATCCCCACTTAGCCATAGAAGGTCACCAGGAGGGAGGAGCAATGGTAAAAGCAGCTCTGAAATCGCTGGACATCCCTTGAAAAACCTACGGATTAGGGACACCCTAACTCAGATGCAGTTTGACAGCACAAGAGATGCACCCCTTCTATGTCTCGTGGCAGTGGAGGTACCACAGGTTAAGCGCAAGAGTCTGCAGGCCTCACTGAGTTGATAAAAGGAAGCCATGGGTGCAAAACACCCTTCCAGCCGCTCCTGCCATTCCCGCTTGACGCAGGCACCCTTCTTGACGGGTAGCATTTTGGAATGGTCAGCATGAATGGCGGTAGAACGCAAGAAGGGCCAGTGTGGCCAGAGAGGCCTCTCGTCCCGCCTTCTGCTTGAGAGCAGAGTGGCCGCCCTCTCCCCAAAGACCCCGAGGAAGCCCACAAATGCAGAATAGTCTTCCTCTCTCTCTCTCTGCTCTCCAGAGAGTCCCGATTCAACCCGCTGAGAGGGCTCGTAGCCACCAAGGATCCTCCTCTCCAGCATGGATTCCCTTTCAGAGTCTTAAAAGGTCTTGAAATGCCCGTTCGCAACGTGGATGTTCTTTTTCCCAGTCAGGGATCTGTAAGTCCTTGACACGGTGAGCAGTAGGGAGGAAAACTTGGGAAAAGAGGCTGCCGTCAAGGCTTTGCTGAGTCCAGCAGAGTTGCGCTGCTCTGAGGTCCAGAAACGTTTGCTGGATCTCTAAAGGTTCAAGCCTGTTGGGGCAGCGACCATTCGCAGCGGTTTGTGCTTGCCTGCCCGAGGGGGCTTCACCTGAGTGTTGAGAGCGTCATCCTGGGAGACAAGAGGGAACCCTTGGCGTGGGGTGGGACCCACCAGCCTTTGGGGAGAAGCTTGTTCCCTTGCCGCAGCCTGCTGGTTAACCAGAAGGACCTGTGCTTGTGCCTGCAGGGAGTTCATGGCGCCCTACACCATTCCCTCCGAGCTGTTCCTGGTGGAGGAAATCCCCCGCAACCAGATGGGCAAAGTGGACAAGAAGCAGCTTCTCCGGCACTTCTACGGTTCCTAGCGCAGGGGTGGTGCCCGAGAAGGGGGAAGCTCTGCGGCCTCACCTGGGCCCCGAAGGAGGCGGCCGAAGCCCTTCGGGTTCTTCCAGGAGCGCCTCTGAGCCGTCATCGCCTTCCCGACGCCCTGCTCGCTTCCTTGAGTATCGACAAGCCTTTGGCTCATTTATCGTCAGGTGTCAAGCCTGGATAGAATCTGTGATTCATTTTCAGGAACTGTAAATCAAAGTCTTACAAACCCTGGCTCCTGGTCTGTCTCTTTCTTGGCGGGTGATTCATGTCTCTCCATGCAGCAGATTCAGGGTTCAGCAGGGACGGAACTGGGTGATGGACTGAAAACACAAAAGAGGGGGCGGGTGCCGGGCTTTCCCCCTCGGTTCCCTTCCCCGTGTGTTGGTGTCCTCCGGCTTTTGGGACAGAAGCTCCCTGCAAAAGAACCCACCACCCATTGAAGCCACGAGGCAAGCCCTTGCACAAACAAGCAGCTGCTGGTCCGACAACCACAAGCTGACCCGCTTTGTCTTCATTCACGGCTGAACCCAAACCAAACCCACTCTCGAGGCCAAAGATGATGGGTTCCCAAAAAAGTTGCAAGTGAAGATCGCCACCATCCTCTCCAGAAATGGGATTCCTTTTCGGGGTGTATTGTTGTTTAGTGTATTGCGACTCTTCGTGACCACCCCCCCAATGGGCCAGAGCACGCCAGGCCCTCCTGTCTTCCACTGCCTCCCGGAGTTGGGTCAAATTCATGTTGGTAGCTTCGGTGACCCTGTCCAACCATCTCATCCATCTTTGGGGTGTGGAGGGGGCTAGATTTCCTCAAATCCCCTAACTGGGACAGCTGCAGGCAGGTTCACCATGAATTTCTGTTAAGTTACACATAACCCCCACCCCCCAAAAAATTAAAGCTCCCCAGTCACGCCTCTGGAGCTGAGCAACCAGGAACTGGGCTGTGGATTGTAGGGGACAGCGTGGCCAGGCAGCCTCTTCCAGGTTCTCATGTCATAATGACCATCTTTGAACGGCAGAGTGGAAGGGACCCAGGAGATCATCCAGTCCAGCCCCTGTCAAGGAAGCCAAGAAGGGGGAATCGAACAACTCCAGAGACCTGAACCGTCCTCATCTATATGTCTGCTCTGTTCTGGTGGCTTCCAAACACAGAGCGGACCAAAAACCTCGAAAGGCTTTTGCACAGTGCCGGTCCTCCCTCTGGCCGAAGAAGGTCCCGACGGAGCTCCCTTTTCTGCCTTGACGTTGGCTCTGCTGGGCCTGTGGGACCCTCGGCCTTGAGGCGGCCCCACCCAGGATGAAGAAGGCGCTCTTTCTCAGCTCGGTGTGATGTTTACACCCCCTTGGCTGAGCTCTCTGCCTTCTGGCCCTCCGTCCAGGACCCTCTGTCAGCGTTTCCTCCTTCCTTCCTTCCTCCTCTCTTCCCTTATTTTTAAGTTCTTTCTCCCTTTCCCCCCTCTCTCCGCCCCCCCACCTTTATTTTTATGGTGCAGTAAAAGAGTCCTTCATTAGGAGAGACTGTAATCTCCATGCAGGAACAGCTAATAACCCACCCTAAATTGCGATCTGTCCTTTTGCACGCTCCCCCACACAAGCACGC